AGCAGGAACACATCATTATATCTCATTTTTTATTTCTTTTTAAAAAAATTTAAAAATTGTTTGCCCAGCCTACTTCTAGTACAACTTTCCTTTAAAAAACTCTCTGTTCCAGCTACACCAGCTCTTTCTTAGACATTTGTTAATAATTGATCTTCCAATATTAGGTTTTCAATATTATAATTTATTGTTCTAAAAACATCTGTAGCATGGCAATATAAGGAAGGATTACACAATTGGCTGTCAGTGTTTTGAGATTTTGACAAAGCTTTATAGAATTAAAAGATCTTCATTCTATCCGCATATAATTTTATGTTTGGCTTGGAGATATTGCATAGCATAAAAAGATTTCATTGCTGTGACATGCAATTCCTAAAAGCAGCATCGAGAGCACAAAGTTACCCGAGGGGGGGTTTAAGTGAGCCATTTCCTATTCTTACAGCACATCTTTTTTCACCCAAATTCCAATTACAGTGTTGGCAGAAGCAGTTATTGTAGTGTATTTTACAGTTTTATATTAACAGAGTTTGTGTATGTTATTTTTCTGCAGGAGTGTTTCTGAGCAGAAACTAATGATATTGTCAGAACTGCCATTTTAACTTTGTTTTTTTTTCCCACAGTTTTTTACTTGACAGACTTCTGCAGTATGAACATGTGGATGATGACTCTTCAGGTAGTTTATCTCCCAGTCATTCTAGCTCATTGTATGTATCTGTCTCACTTTGGTTTTATTGGCTACAGTCTAGATTAAGTCTGGATTAGCTAGACTTTTCTAAATTAACATAAGATCTTATTTCATAGAAAAATTACATGACTGATAATTGCCACTCTTAAAGTTCATTCCAATACTTGTGAAGCACTAAGTTAACATAAACCATAATAAGCATGTAATGTCCAGCCATTCAGAATGTGCACGGGATAATGCAGTACTTTGGTGTGCACGTGCTGCATTTTACCACACCTTTTAAAAATACTCAGTTGTGGGACTGCACTACTTTGTAAAAATAGCAGTGAAAGCTAAATGTGGCATGTAGAAGCATGGGCTGTCACTAGAAAACACCTGGTTTTGAATACTGGTCAATACTGAGCAACAACCTTTTTCCAATTATAGAATTTAAGTTGTATACTGACTTTTATTCATTTTTTTTAACTGTATAGTATTTTAAATATTGAATTAATTAAAAAAGAGTAACATTACTCTTTAACAAAACAAACAAAACAACATTACTCAGTTCAATATAGGAAAATAGTTCATTATTCTAGTGTGTCTTCTTGTGAAACAATGTGCTTCTCTCAGGCTTACATCTGCATTGAGATGATCCATAATTTGCCATAATGTCAATTTCAGCAATGAGTAATCAGGATAATTTAACTTTAAATTTTGATTATGAAAAATGTATTTCACACTTACTGTACTGTAGTGGCTTCAAAACCCTAAGATATCATACTGTATATACAGTATATTTACACGTTATATAATCACATTGCAGTTCATTGCCGTGTATGCTACTGTTTCAGTGTATCTATGAATCATGGGATTCGCATGTGTGGAACATCGGGAGATTAGACCCTGCAGGTCTTGATTACACTACGAATGAGTCCCTGAGGCATACTGTCCAAGTTTCAAAATTATAAAAAAAAATATAAAACTGTTGAGCCCTTTCCCCTAGTGCAAGTTGATCATATGCTAGCTGGCTCCCTTCTTCCCGTGCCCTGTCCGAGCATTCTGGAGATGGTCTGGATATTACGTTATTATTAATATTAATATTTGATATGTACAATTATCAGAAAGGTAAATATAGTTTGCATAGTATTTTATTGTTCGAGAATCGCAAATATGTTAGTCATTGTATTAACAGATACAGCAGATATTCACACCTGAAAACACTAGATTTTTTATTATACTTGGAGTGTGAAGATTGAGTGAGCACCGTGGGTGCACAGTGAGATAGTTAATTTTAGTAAATATGTTGACAAATGTCTGAATTTTTAGTTTCAGGAGGCAAAATAAAATTGTATCCAGCTCTGAATTAGCTACATGGCATTGCCCCCGTGAAGTTTTCGGGAAAGGGGGTTAGTGCATAGCGTTGCTCACAGAGTAGTGCCTGTAGTGTTTGTTTTAATATAACATTTTTTTAACATTTGTAATCTCTGTTTTTGCAAATACATTTTGCATAGTTATTTAGTTTGTGTCTGCTTGTTAGCTGGTGGGCAAAAGGTGAAAATCCTTCCACAGGGAGGGTATCTTTAAAGTGGAGAAGATAGCACCAAAATTCTTTCGGCTCTGTATGTCGCCTAAGCCATTCCTCTTTGGCATTTTGGCTGTCTGACTTGTCCCCATTTTTAACCATTCTGAATTGCAGCAGGTGAGAGATATTACGGAGAGAGAAAAAAGTGAATCCTAGCTACAATACATTTATATATTTTTGTGGTAAGAGGAAGCAATACATCAGGATTTACTGCGAGAAATTAGTGTAAGATTTATAGATGAAATCTGAGCCTAAATATAGACTTAAAATCTCGACAAACAGAGGAATGTTGGAAATGTGTATTTTTTCTGGAGCAGAAATACAAATAGACAATAAATGCTTTTTGACATCTCAAATCAGTTTTGATTAAGGTCACCAAAATTAACGAGAAAAACTTTCAGAGAGCAACTGCTTTTTGTTTACATAGAATAAGTAATTAAGAATTTGAGCTATCTAATTTCTTATGTGTTAAAACAGTAACATTTCACCTGCAGAAGATTGCACCAGAGTCAGCACTAGCTCTGCTTGCCATAGATGTTCAGTTGCTGAATTAAGGGTGAATTAAGCCATATCAAGTGCAATTCAGTGATCAGTAATAACAGCTTAAAATGTGCATAGATTATTGTACAAATTCTGGAAATTTCACATTTAAAGAGCTCTGAAGGACAAGTAACAAAAGAGAGAGAAAACGTAAGCTTTTCAAGTTTTAGAAATGGAGTAGGTGTTAATTTAAAATGAGCAGGTAGGAAAAAAAGAGGAATGCAGGAACACTTGCAAAAGCTTAGAAATACAAAAAAAATCACAGAAAGCTGTTAAAAAAGAACATATGGACATAATAAATGTTTCCATAGATACTCAAATGAGATTAAACATATTTTAATTGTATTTTAATCGAAAAGCATTAAACGTAAATGTATTTTAGATTTTGGTTAGTTGCTAGCATGGAACTGTTTGTTGGATGTACATAAATAGAAGGAATGGGCAAACATACAGTAGCTGATGTTGATCTGCGGACCCAGCATTAAAGGATGTTCGTATTTAGAGGCAATTTATTTAAATGACAAACTAGCTGTGGATACTGATGTGCCCAAGAGGTGGAAAGGAGGTTTCCCTAAGCCAGCACATTAAAATTTAGCTTAAGTGAGTAACTGCTGCCATCTCATAGTGGGTTATTTTCTAATCTCTTTATCCAGTACAGGGGAGCTCCCTGGACATAACACCTGTCCATCACAGGGTAGACATGCAGACACATTTACACCAGGGCCAATTTGTCCAGAAGCCAATAAACCTACTAGTATGTTTGGACTGTGAGAGGAATTCAGATCACCTGAGAAAACCCAGTGAACCCAGAGAGAATATGCGAAGTACACAAATATAGTACCCCACAAATTGAGCCTAGGGCCCCAGCACTGTAAGATAGCAATGTTAACCTCTGTGCTACCATTAGAGATGGAAAGATAGATAGTCATCTATGTAGTTTAAAGATTTTCATGCAAAATTTAATTTTGAAATCCACTGAGACAGCTGGTGCTACTTTTATATTTCTGAAAAAAAAGATACAAAAAGCTTGCTAACCTCTGTGCCATCCTATTCTTTAGGTAATACATTTAATATATATAAACAGGTACATTATTATCAATTGTTGATTAGTTAGTAAAGTATGTTAAATTATTTTTGGCAGCCTTTTTAAATTTTATTGTTTTATATTTAACTTATTTTCTGATTTAACAAAGCCTTTTTGAACAGTCTTGTAAATTAATATTTTTACAAGATGTGGAAGTGCAACAATTATTACACGACGGGAGACAAGAAGGCACTGCTAAAGAAATGTAATATTATTGATCACTAATAGTTTATGCTAACACCTGACAATCTTATAATTATTGAACTAAGTGTGACATAACATTCAGAAATACAAAAAATAGTTTGTGGCATTTGTATAGATGAAACTTATCTAAAATGTATCAAATATTAAAAACAATTAAAATGTATAAACTTTCCACGTGTAATGTAATTAAGAAGTACAATAAACTCCTGCTTTGTTTAACGATGGTTTGAAAAATAAAATGTTTAATGATAATTAAAAGACTTGAAGTTAAAAGAAACGATTTATGTTGCTTGTTGCTAAATTTTAAAGGCATGCGCGCTTACACGCTCCAGGGTTCTCTGACAGAGCTCTGTGGGCGGTGTGCTATTTTCTTAGTGACCTGCTGATCTGCTTCACACCATGGGAAGACATGAGAATGTGATTTTTTCTGTACAAAATGCGTGTTGCATTTTAAAAATGAAAGTGTTTAAAACCTTTAAACAAAAAGTAAATAAAACTTGGAGTTACACAAAGATCCGTAGCTGATCACGTGGAAGTAAAATAAACCATTTTTCTCGTATAAAAAGTGGTTTTTAATTATCTAAACCCGTTTTTGTAGCTGTTAAAGCTACGTTACGTCATTGTTTCTTATTTTTGATTTTCTTTAAAAAAATCAGTTCTCCATTGTGCCGTATAGTATTATGTTACGATTTTGAAAATATTTTTGAGAGACTTCAGAATGCTTTGACCGATGCATAAAAAATGTAGCATAATTCGTACTGTCATGAAAAAGCAATTATTCTGCTTTATATGGTCAGACATTTAGAAAAAATACATTTGTTTCCATCCATTTTCTAATCTCTGTATCCAGTACAGGGGAGCTTGAGCCTATCCCAGCAAGCAACAGGCTCAAAGCAGTTGAATAGTAATTCTTTGTAATAACTCCCTTACACCTTGGGATCCACTCTATTCAAATGAAGGTTTCTAAAAATTCAACCAGGTACTAGATTTTACAAATTGCAGCCTTTAAAATGCATGAGGTTTGAAGGCTCTGTGTCATTTGTTCACAAAGTTGTTGACATCTGAAACATCATGTCTCAAAAATAGGTGTTTTCATAAGAAAGTGAAGGTTATGAAAACTGGAGAAAACCAATGACCCTGAACAAAATACAAGAAGTTTGAAATTATGATTTATTATTAATAAATTCATATTGTTAATAATGATCAGATACTTTATTATAGTTCAGTTTCAGTGACCTTATGGTTGATGATCTCGATTATGATTATAATATATATGATTTAGTTTTAAGGCTTGTTGTAAAAGCTTGTGTTAAATTGCCCCATGGGATGAATCAATTATTTTTAATTGAATTGTATTAAAAAATACTGGTTGAACTGGTTTTTACTCCCACTTTTGACAGTATTCATGTTTGCTCATTCATGTTTTTAATATTATTAAACAGTGAACATGCTGTGATATATTGACATAATAAAATGTCAATATAGTGTACATAATATTTACTATTTTATTTTTTAAAAAGGAGTCTTTGTTAGACGAAGCTTGCCCTATGCAGGAATCGAACCCAGGCCTACAGTAGGAAAACCAGTCACTTGGAA